CTGCCACTATCATTATTAAATTTTCTTTGGCATCACCAAATAAAGTTTTCAATACAGCTTTGTTCATGCCGTTGTGCTTAGCACTGAATAAGTCAGGCTGAACAGCCTCTTGTTTATGTCTGTCTAGTCTTGCAACCAGAGCTGACCATACTGTCTACAAGGGAGATCAAAGTACATGAATTGGAACATATCCATAGTAAATTATCAAATGCCATATGTATTCAATACAAGCAAAAATAGTTAACCCATTACTTTCAACATGGTCGTGTTTGTTCTTTTTATAAAAAGTTTTCAACTTTTATTTTAGATACAGGGGTACATATGGAGGTTTTTACATGGGTATATTGCACCCAGATAGTGAGCATAGTATCCAATAGGGAGTTTTTCAACCTTTTCTCTCCCCTCCCCCACCTTCTAGAAGTCTTCAGTGTCTATTATCCTCATGTTTATGTCTGTGTGTGCTAAATGTTTAGCTCCTACTTATAGTGACAATATGTGGTATTAAGTTTTCTGTTGGTGCATTAATTTGCTGAGGATTATGGGCTGTTGCTCCAAACATATTGCTGCAAAGGACATGATTTCATTCTTTTCTTACAGCTGCATAATATTTCATATTGTATATATACCACATTTTCTTTGTCCAATTCATCATTGATAGGCACCTAGGTTGTTTCTACATCTTTGCTATTGTGAATAGCGCTGTGGTGAACATAACAGTACATGTGTCTTTTTAGTAAATAATCTATTCTTCTTTGGGTATATGCCCAGCAATTGGATTGCTGAGTTGAATGATAGTTCTGTTTTAAGTTCTTTGAGAAAGGTTCAAATCACTTTCCACAGTCGTGCATCACATCCTTTCCTTTCCAAAGCTTTCTCAACAGAGTGAGGCACTTTTTTTTCAGATAAGCTCCTACAAGTTACTGAAAGAAAGTCACATTGCTACCTTCATTTGTTTATGAAGTACCAAGAAAGTTGGGAATCTTTTGCTGAGGAAATCTATTATTTCTACAATGACTTTGAAACAGTTGAACAACCCTGTTTGGTTTAATTAAGGATACTACGTGATATGCTTTGGCTCTGTGTCCCCATACAAATCTCATGTTGAATTGTAATCCCCAGTGTTGGAGGTAGGGCCTGGTGGAGGGTGATTGGATCATGGAGTGGTTTCTAATGGTTCAGCACCACCCCTTAGTTCTGTCTTGTGATAGAGTTATCACAAGATCTGGTTGTTTTAAAGTGTGTGGCATCTCCCTCTTTATTTTCTGTCTTCCTCCTGCTTTAGCAATGTAGGACATGCTGGCTTTCCATTCACCTTCCACTGTTGTAAGTTTCCTGTTGTAAGTTTGCTATGGCAAAATTCAAGTTATATCCCCACTAAAGGAATATAAATGAAGAAAATAAAACATACTGCTCACCTCCTGCAAATGAAATTTAGATATGTTTAGTCATTGTATTTTTCCTTTAGGTTCTTTTTTAATGACTAGGAGGACTATATGTTACAAAAACATAATTGCTGCAATGAATAAAATTGAGGATAAATCTTTGGGCATATCGATTACCATTTCTTTAGAATAAATTTTAGAAACAGAGTTGCTGCATCCAAAATATCCATATTTTAAATAAGTAAATCCAAATGGATAAAACATACCCCTGAAAATTTTAATCATTTTATGTTCTTTTTGGATTGCACAAGATAGCCATCACTCTGGATGAAGTGTGGGCATTTTGATCATATTAACTTAAACTTGGACAATATATAAAATGATAAATAACAATATATAAAAAGATAACAAAATAACAGAGCTTTAAAAGAGATAAAAGATGTTTTACAATTGTTAATAATATACCTCAGGGAAAAGAGATGTATTGAAGAGAATATTTAACACATTCAGAGGATGTGCTAATGACTATAAAAAGTTTATAAGAAGCTAAAGGAGAAAAATCACTCATTTTAATGGATTTGCTATATTGCATTTACATGGAAAGAGATAGTGGTACTCCTTTCTTTGTTTTATGTCAATACGTGAGTACCCTTTAATGAATGAAATAGTCTCTGCTAAATATCATAAGCAAAATATTAAAAATAGAGATATTTGCTGTTTGCTTCAGAGCTATGAAAATGAAATTTCATTAGTGGCTATTATCTGGTTTTATATGATAGAAGTACACCAAATATGAGACTATAAATACTGAATTGTGTTAATGTGAAGAGAATAGAAAAATTGGTGCTTTTAATTTGCAGATGTGCAGCTCTGTTAAAAACTGCGTTTTAGTTTTAGGTGGCATATTATTCAGAGCTTAATGCTGAAAACTAGAAAATCTTTCTAGTTATCTTAGTTTGGCAAAAATCAACACTTATGTCTTCCATTGAAATAAGTATGGGAATTGTATGATGTGGGGCAGTAAAAAGAGTGCAGGGATTTGGAATCAGAAAAACCTGGGTACAAATTTTGAACCAGACATTTAGTAAATATGTAAATTTGGTCAATCTTGTATGTAAAATAGCACATTAATACATATTGATTCACCAAGATTTATTTGTAAATCAGAATAGGTAAAAGTTTATGATTTTTTTTTTTTTTTTTTTTTTTGCGATGGAGTCTCACTCTGTTGCCCAGGCTAGAGTGCAATGATATAATTTCAGCTCATTGCAACCTTCACCTTCTGAGTTCAAGTGCTTCTCCTGCCTCAGCCTCCTGAGTAGATGGAACTACTGGCATGTGATACCACCCCTGGCTAATTTTTGTATTTTTAGTAGAGATGGGGTTTCATCAAGTTGGACAGGCTGGTCTCGAACTCCTGACCTCAGGTGGCTCCGCTTACCTTGTCCTTCCAAAGTGCTAGGATTACAGGCATGAGCCACCATGCCTGGCCAGGTTTATGATTCTTAAGTGATGCAAAATTGACTATATTAGTCAAGGTAGAGTGATATAAGTAGAAAATCCTAAAATTTTCAATGACTTAATACAATGAAAGCTTGTGATATAATTTAACTCTGTGTTTCCATCCAAATCTCATCTCAAATTATAATCCCCATTATTCCCACATGTCAAGAAAGAGACCAGGTGGGAGATGTTTGGATCATGGGGGCAGATTCCCCTCTGCAGTTCTTGTGATAGTGAGTGGTTTTATAAAGCAGCTTTCTCTGCTCTTGCTTGCTTTCTCTTGCTTGCCGCCATGTAAGATGTGCCTGCTTCCCCTTTTGCCAAGATTGTAAATTCCCTGAGGCATCTCCAGCCCTGCAGAACTGAGTCAATTAAACCTCTTTTCTTTATAAATTACTCAGGTCCAGGAATTTCTTACAGCTGTGTGAAAATGGGCTCATACAGTTTATTCTTGATTATGTGATGGATGTAAATCACTAGATTGAGGGAGGCATTTGTTGGTTCTGTCATCCCCTACATCAGAGATTTCTGGTAACTGGAAAACACAAAAACACAGAAAGCATGGAATCAGGTGGGAGGCTTTAATAGGCCAACCATGAATGTTACATATATCATGTGCATTTATGTTCCATCAGCCAAATTCAGTCACATGGCATAAAAATAGGTAGCTGTGTACTCAATAAAAAGATGAAATAATTTCATTATCTGCTCATTGACTAAGTGACCTAAGCCAATTTAACTGATGTAAGTAATCTAAGGTGATTGACCTAAGCCAGTTTAGCTATTCACAAATATTAATATTAGTTTTCTTTTTTTTTTGAGACAGAGTCTCATTGTCACCTAGGCTGGAGTGCAGTGGCATGATCTTAGCTCACCGCAACCTCCACCTCCCCAGTTCAAACAATCCTCCCACCTCAGCCTCCCTAGTAGCTGGGATTACAGGTGCCCACCACCATGCCCAGCTAATTTTTGTATTTTTAGGAGAGACAGTGTTTCACTATGTTGGACAGGATGGTCTCAAACTCCTGGCCTCAGGTGATCCATCCACCTTTGTCTCCCAAACTGCTGGGATTACATGTGTAAGCCATCATGCCTGGCCAGTTTTCTTAAAAGTAGATATTACTAGTCTCTAATCATAGTGATTATTAGTGAGAACACATATGAGTTTTCTGTTCTTATGGTAATTTGTGTAGGATAATGGCCTCCAGCTGCATCCATGTTTCTGTAAAGGACATGATTTAGTGATTTGTATGGCTGCATAGTATTCCACTTTATAGATGTATCAAATTTTCTTTATCCAGTCCACTGTTCATGGGCACCTAGGTTGATTTACTGAAGTTAATTCTTAAAAGATATATTTCTATATCTTCTGGTTTTGATGTTTTGGAGATCTGATTCAGATAAAGATTTGCTAGATTGCATTTATTTCATTATCCACCTTCTACTTCCCCCAAAATTTCAAGTAGTTAATATCTGGTATAGATTAAGGTATAAATTGCTTTTTGAAAGCACTAAGCTTGTCTTTAATTTTCCTAATGAAAGAATATGTGAAAAAGCATCATAAATTCAACAACTATTTACTGAGTGCCTACTGTGTGGGAGGCATTGCTATGTATGCTGGAAGTTAGCAATGAGGAAGAGAGAGGAGTTTTATTTTCATGGGGCTCACTTTCTACTGACAGGAGGTGGAAAAGGAACAACACAGAAGTGAGCAGGCATGCGTATAGGCAAAAATGCCAGGACACAAAATAGGGTGAAGTGTCAAAGAAACTTCTTGAAGGTGAATGCTGGTTGAGGAAGAAATAAGTAAACTGAGATGTGAATGGAAAGTCAGGCATGAGAAGTTAGATGGAGGAAACAGCTATTGCAAAAGCTGTAAGTCAGGTGTAGTCCAGGAACAACAGCCATCCCTTTCCTCAAGCAAAAAGGGGTAGAAAGTAAAAACCAGAAATGGGGCTGAGTGCAGCAATGTAGGAGACACATTGGAAGCAGGTGTCTGATAATATAAGGCATTGTAATCTATCTTCCAAAACACTTCTGGACAATTGCACACTTCAACCGACACTGCCTTTTTAGGATATGTTAGTGTTAATGCTTTCACTTTTCTTTATGCAGTTTATAGATACCATTTTCTCCTATGGCTGCATTTTATTGGATTGTTAATCTACATCCAGTTTCAAATGTCTGAAAGCTCTGTGACCCGATGAACACGTTTACATACCGTTGCCAGTCGCTCATTTACATACCGTTGCCTTGGCTCATTTACACCTGCCAAAAGATGGTGAGTTTTGGACATCTGTGCACTTTATTGATATATGTTATACATATTATCTTAACTACTTTTCACACTGAGTTGAAAGGTTTGTGATGTGACACTGGTTCTTTAGTCTATAAGCAAAGTTTGGCTCTTGTAATTTAATGAATGCATGACTGGATAGATCCTATGCATATTACATATGTTCATTGGCAGTCTTAAGCTCCTAAAGGATTGAGACAGTTTAGCTCTGACCACCCTTAATATTACTGCTGTAATGGCAGGTGTGAATATGCTTATTATGCTGCAGCTGATGACAAAAAACAGCTGGTTAACGTCTGAAGTGTAGCACCAGCTATAAATGCCTCTATAATAAGAAAGTGTTTATTTTCTTTTTCTTTCTTTCTTTTTTTTTTTTTTTTTTGAGACGGAGTTTCGCTCTTGTTACCCAGGCAGGATCTCGGCTCACTGCAACCTTCGCCTCCTGGGTTCAGGCAATTTTTCTGCCTCAGCCTCCTGAGTAGCTGGGATTACAGGCACGCGCCACCATGCCCAGCTAATTTTTTTGTATTTTTAGTAGAGACGGGGTTTCACCATGTTGACCAGGATGGTCTCGATCTCTTGACCTCGTGATCCACCTGCCTCGGCCTCCAAAAGTGCTGGGATTACAGGTGTGAGCCACTGCACCTGGCCAGAAAGTGTTTCTTTTCTAGAACAACTATGAGTGGGAAAACAAAACATATTTTTGCGCCCATCTGTTTGTGACACAGCTTAGAAAATATTGTTAAGTGATTTGAAGACCAGTTTCTGGGTCTCTTCCATGCTGTTTCATGTATTTCATAGTTTGGCAGCTATTTAGAACACTTTGAATATCATTGGCTTAAATAGCCAATTTATACTTGCTCTCTAATATTGAAATATTCCAAAGAGAATCATTCTATTCCTGCAGTCGTACTTTATAACCCGTCTTGTTAATACAAAGAAACAAACTCCCACAGGCTGAACAGTCTGAGCTATTTGTATCCTCATACTCTAAAGCTTGCAATAATTTTTCTTCCTCTAGGCTAGCAAAACAAATACATTTGTATCAATGATGCGAACAATTAATGAAAAAAGTTAAATTAGAATACTTTAAAGGAATGCCACCTTCTAGATAAAACCATCAGTGACTGTTTCATAAAATCCTCACTCTATAAAACTCATGCAAGATTGGACAGAAATTCCAGAAGTTGAATTTCTCATACTTACTTAGCTGCCAAAAGGTAAATATTGCCTCTAGAAAATGTGTTTAAAGTTTTACATTACAGAGGCACTGATGCTTCTAGGATTCCTTATTCTGTCCTAAGTATTATAGAACAGGTGTAAAAGCTCACAGTCTGACTCTGCCAAGATTTCTCATTTGTGAAATTTACTTTACTGCACAGAATGAACACAAATGCTTTCCAAAGGATTATCTGCAAATGATCCAAAAATGTCTTTGTGAGTACTTTTATTTAATTTTTGAGATCACCACTTATAGCTGTGATTTGGCAAGTCTTTCTTTCTTACAAATACCTCATCATCTTTCACAGATTATGAAAAACGAGTTTGAATCCAATCTTATCTGCGAATTTTATTACCTTTCTTCAATGTTGAGAGCAACTTTTTGTGAGAGCAACTGGCTGAGGCTTAAATATGGGTTTTTTTTTTCAAAAAAGGTAAGAATAGTGAAAGGATATTTATTGATATCTTATTACATAGTAAACATGTTGAACAAGATAATATTCCTGCCCTCCAGCAGTTGATACTGTATAAAAGGACTGGAGCATATAAAAAGAAAACTCTATATAAATCTTATGTTTGTGTGTTAGGGGCTATGAGAGGGGAAATGCAATCAGAGAGAAGACTTCCTGAAGGAAACAATATCTAAGCTGAGAGTTGAATAATATATGGGATTGCCTGGAAGAAGAATGGGGATAGTCAAAGGAAGGATGGCTCAGGTAAAGGGCCCAGTATTTGCAGAACAGTTGAGTTGAGAGGACATGATCTGTTCTGAGAATTGAAAACAAATAGCTTACTATAATTAAGTTATCAACTGCATTTTCTTAAGATACAATGGTGTCTTAGTCATCTTGGGCTGCTATAACAAAATCCCATAGACTAGTGTCTTAAACAACAGACACTTATTTGCCATAGTTCTGGAGACTGGGAAGTCCAAGATCAAGACAATGGCAGATTTGGTTCTTGGTTAAAGCCTTCTTCCTGGCTTGCAAAGTAGTAGCCTTTTTATTGTAACCTTACATAGCTGAGCGAGGAAGCTCTGATATCTCCTATTTTCATTGAAAGGGCATTAATCCCATGATGAGGGTTCCACCTTCATGACCTTCTCTAAACCCAATTACTTCCCATAGGTCTCACCTCCTAATATCATCACTTTTGGGGATAGGGCTTTACTGTATGAATTTTGGGCACAGCACAAACATTTAGTCCATACAAATGCAATTTTTCTTAAAATATAAAAATAAATTTCAAAATTTTTAAAAATTATTTATTTTTATTAAAAACAATAATGTATAGGACTTTATTCCTAAGTGCTCGCTAAAAATCTTCAGGTGGAATAAGACACCTATAAAATGATTTTTATATCTAGTTCTCCCCAGAAACCTCGAAACTGGTATTTTCTAAAATGATTTTCTTGGTATTTCTCTGAACAAAATATATTTCAATTTTGACTGATAGGGATGTGCAAACTCTGGAGAGGAATGTTTTGTTGAGCTAGCATTCTGCATAGTAGACATAGGCCAGGACCAGGACAAAATCACCTTTAACTGCTCAGCTTTTATATTTGTCAAATAAAGGTAATTATCCTTAGCTGTCTCCTTTCCTGCTTCCTTCCAAACTCAATTTTCTTGGTAGTGAAGAAAGTCACATTAAAATTCTACTTTAGAAAGGCTAGATGGCATAGTTTAGATAGGCTTTATTTGAAAACTAACAAAAAGATTATATCAGTCAGAGGCCAAGAGAAGACAAACAGAAGCCACACAATAATTTGAAGAAGAAAAGCTTAATATAAGAATTATACATTAAAACTTATAATTATAAATTATCACTTAGAAATATTAGCTATAACTTAATAGGGAACTAACTATTAAGATGCCAAAAGAACCCCGAAGCGTATCCTAGGATTAAGAAAGAGTATAAGGAAGAAACAAACTTGGAAGGATGGACTCTCCCCGTGTCTGGGATTCAGACCTCATTAGAGAAGGTGTGGTTGTAGCCCACTAGATGACAGAGAAGTTTATGGGGGTTGCATGGCCAAAGGAGGCCTACAGTTTCCAGGCAGTAGGGGGCGCAGGTGAGCCGATGCTGCAGGTGGATGCACAAAGGAGTTGAGATGTTGAGTCAGCAGGTGTGTGATGACTGCTTATGGAGGGCTGCAGCAGAGTAGTCACCAGATTGGGCTTGAGACTGAGAGTGCGCCAAGTGGCTGCATGCTCTCGACCAGTGGTAGGATGTCCACTGCATATGCCCACCCATGCTTTTCTGGCTGCCACTGATAGGAACAAGAAGAAAGAAAAAAACAGGCCGTATAAGCAACAGAACGAGAAGCTCTTTTTTCCTGTAATATCCTTCCTATCGCTCTCTACTGAAAACAACAAAAAATAAAAAAAACACAACTTTGTAGTTACTGAAAAGGAGAATTGCTTAAATGGATTCACTTCATTGTCACAGAGGAGATCACAAACTGTATATTTGGATTTGAGAAGCAACAATTTGATAAACGCCACAGAGAAAAATGGAAGATAAATTGACAAAGGCAAATTGTAATCTCAACCAAGGGAAATATGTAGGTGCCTGTACATGTGACTGCTGTTCCTCTTCTTGCACTCTGTAGAACAACATACCTAGAATTTGATCCTGAGGAAATATTGCAGTAGTGAAATTTCATTGATTTGGCCCTTATTTTTCTTCATTCTGCCCCTTCCACATATGTGCATATGCACAAGTGCACACACACACGCACACACACGTACATACACATAAGCCTCACCTGAATCTCTAAAACGATCTGCCTATTTGTGAAGTAGCAATTAAAATATGTATTCACAGTATTGTAAGGGTTAAAAAATGATGTTTGTGAACACCCAGCCCATTGCAGATACTAAGAAAATGCTTGTTAAATTCAAATCCCTTGTAATTTTTGACTCAATGACTATTGCTTAACAGAATACAAATGAGAAAGACTAGAGTTGGGTTTTCACTTTACATATTTGGAGGAAACTTCACAGAAGATCCTAATGGAGATAGTTTAAAGAAAAAATTAGAAAAATATCTATGCTCTGCAATTAAATTGATTTAGGCTTTGTAAACTGAAATTACAAACTCATTTTGTAAAAGCCTCAGACCTCTACACTTCTATGAGAAGATAACGATTATTAACTGCTACCATATTTACATAGATGTTTGAAAGTTACAATGTAGGGTTGATCAATCAAGTGGTTATTTTTAATAAAGTCTCTCCTTTCTGCTGGATAATTACCTTTCACATTCAATATGTACTTCTAGCTAAACACACATATATGTGTGTGTACAGACACACACACTATTTTCCAGCTAGCTGAAAATATTCTTAGTTGAAACATGAATAAAACTACTTATCTCCAAACTCCAGCATTAGTCATATTCTGTGTTCTTTTATGCCTTACAGTTCTTGGTGTTTCCCAATCATATACCATCTTATGTCATCAAATCATGCCATTTCTTCTTCCTGGACTGCTTTTGAAAGATAATGCATCCTTCAAGCTTTACTGAGGTGCAAACAAGAATTGGTCACTCTGTCCTTCAACTTATCCGACTACCACCTGCTCCACCCACCCCAGCATGTGGTCTACACACCCCTTTCATGGTGTATTTTCTTGTGTTTCTAGCTTGTATATGTCTGCTGTATCCAAATAAATGCTCTTGAATGAGAGGTCCAATATCTCCTTTGTGTAATATGTAAGAGAGGAAAGATGTCTTTTCCTCACCAATTCTAGGTTCATGGCTAAGGCCCCTATAATGAAAACGAAAATACATTAGCAAGAGAAGCATATAATTTAATGGAACACGAAGCCTTCACAGGAAATGAAGACCTAAAAAAACAGTCAAACCTGAGAGTTTTTTGTTTTGTTTTTATTTTGTTTTATTTTATTTTATTTTATTTTGAGACAGAATCTCTCTGTTGCCCAGGCTGGAGTGTGGTGGCATGATCTTGGCTCACTGCAACCTCTGCCTCCCAGGTTCAAGCGATTTTTCTGTCAGCCTCCCAAGTAGCTGGGAGTATAGGAACACACCACCACACCTGGCTAATTTTTGTATTTTTAGTATAGATTCGGTTTCACTATGTTGGCCAGGCAGGTCTTGAACTCCTGACCTCAGGCAATCCACCTGCCTTGGCCTCCCAAAGTGCTGGGATTATAGGAATGAGCCACTGCACCCTGCCCTGAGTGTGTTTTGATGAAGAGTGGATTGTCATGGAGAAAGGGCAGAGTACAATCCAGTGGTAATAAACTGGAGGGAAACTTAGCCAGGTCTTTTTTTTGCATTCTTCTCTGTGTTGTGTGTCTTCAGAGATAAGAATACTCTTTCCTGTGGATATGGGGTGGGAGGGCATGTCTCACATAAAGGCCTTACAACCTTCCACAGGGGAGGGTCAGAAAAATTCTTCCTATTTTATAAGACCTGCTTCAGGGGAGAAGGGTGGGGGAAAGGTCAGAGACATCTTTTCCTATATCTTGTTTTTCAAATTTCTTCACCTTAAAATATTCAATATGCCAAGGCGCATATTTTGGGATAACATGTCTTGAATCCCATTGAATATGTTGTGCATTATGGTATATAATTGCTCCCCATTATTTGATTAGGATAATAGCAATAAGGTAAGTGATATCAATTTGATAAATAATAATATTAACTATATTAAAATTTAATTGCTGAACAGCTAATACATTAGGAGGGCTCAAAATTCAAAAGGCATAATGAGTCCTATAGTAAAAACTTTCTACTTCTCCTCAATTCCTCTCCAACTAGATAATAAATATTATTAGTTTCTTAGCTATTCTTGTAGGAAAATTTTATACACATGTAAATAAAAACATGTGAAATTCCTCTATTTGTTTATGGTATGTAGCACTTTGCTTTTTTCCTTAACATCACATTTAGGATAGTTTTTCAAATAACCTATATTTACAGCTGAGATGTTTATTGTTTTCTATGTACCAGATTTTGTTCCCAGTGTTTTGTATGTATTAGCTTATTTAATGCTTGCAACAGCCCTAAAAAGTAAGTCCTATTATTATCTCCCTTTCACTAATGAAGAAACTCAAACACCAAGAGTAACATAAACTGCCTATGGTCATGTGGCAGTAATTACATGACTCAATATTAGAATACTGGCCGTCTGGCTCTATTATTTACGTTTTTACCCCTACGCTACACTGACATTTGTAGAACGTCTTCATTTTTATTTTACAACAGAGAATGAAACATTGTCTATTTAACAGCTGTATCTCACTGCATACCAAGCAAAGGGCTAATCAGATTATTAACTGAAGGAAGCATGATTTATATGGAATTCTCTCTGACTAGATCATCCCTGCTATTTTTGATGTAAATATTCTGGAGGCCCTTTCAATAACAGGAAGAAGATGAGATGTAGAGTTGCAATTTGGCCAAGATTACATAAAGTGCTGGTTAGTGGCTGAATTTGCATTTACACGCAAATCTACCAGACATCAATGTTGAATTCCTCATATGCTTTCAGGCTTACAATCCATAGCAAAGAGAAAATGTACCTTTTAGCTTCTAGGTGGTATTGAAATTGTCTTTGCAAAAATTGTAACAGAAGACTAACCTCACTTACTCCATCTTGCTTATAAACTCCAAGATACCCTAGTACCTTTCTGGGTGTAGGCCAACTTAATTATTTCAGGAATTTATAGTGTAACTTTAAAACAAAGATGATAAGAGCTCCTTCCCAAAGCCAATCCCCTCCTTGCCAGGGACCAAAACCACCTTTGTAAAAGTAACAAATTAGCCAGAAGATTAAAATTATGCTTCAGGTGTCATGTAGCCAGAGGTCACAAGATGTATAACCTCCTCACTTGCTCCTGCAGATAACACTGTTACTGTAAAACCTAAGATTGGTATTTTCCAGACCCTGTAGTCTGATGGGCCAGTTGGCTCCACCTGAACCAGGAACCCACAGCAAGAAACCGGTTCATCTGGTCTTGTGGCCCCCACCCAGGAACTAACTCAGTGCAAGAAGATAGCTTTGACAATCTATGATTTCATCACCAATACAACCAGTCAGCATTCCTCATTCCCTAGTCCTCTGCCTACCAGCTGTCCTTGAAAAACCCTAGTCTCAAAGCATTCAGGGACCTTATTTGTTTAATTACCCCCACCCTTTCATTTGTCTAACCCTAGAATTATTAAAGTCTCTCTACTGCAATATTGCTGTCTCAGTGAACTGGTTTTATCTGTGCAGTAGGCAAGAAGAATGGACTGGGCAATTACAGGTTTGAAGAAGAAACAGTGGTGCCATCTCTGGGGAGTTTTCTTTTGGATGAGCCTATGAATTCTCTGCAAATACTTCATTTCTTTTTTCATCACCCCTTCCCCAAACTTGCCTTCAATTACAAGAGGAGGCATAACAGGAATTCCTATGGATAACATAAATCTTCAGCTTAAGATACGGATTCTGCGTACAAAAGAAATAATGACAAACTGTATTTATTTGCTTTTTAATCTTTCTTTTCTGTCCAGCTCAAATCTGATGGCTCTTGTCCTTATGATGTTAATTTTTCTTTGCGTTGCATTTGAATGACTCACAATTCTGGAAATTGGTGAAAATTTGTGAAGTGTCTGAACAGGCTTTTTAATTTTCCCTTTAACCTTTGAAAAGGGATTACTCTTCTGGGGGAAAATGAGCATATGGTACCTAAATTAGTTGGCCAAATATCTATAACAATACTGTTACTTGACTCTATGTCATCGGCTGGAGCATCTGTCAGGAAAAAGAGTTATGCTTCTGTGCTTCTCTCTCTTGACAATTAATCACACTGCTCTTCCATTTCTCACTGTTCAGCACGTTGTCTTTTTCAGAACCTGGTGCCAAGAGATTTCAGTGACTCTGACATAATTCAAAAAAGACACTATGACAATAGCATTATTGCAAGTCCTATGAGACAAAGAGAGACTTCAATAGAGGAGAGGCTAACATTTGTTCAGCTATTTCTGACAAGACTATATAGAGTCAGTCACTTAATCTCAAGCAAATTATGATCTATGATGATATCTCAGTAATGAATAAAAAACCTAATATGCTATGGAAAATCTACAACTTTATTCTCCTCCATCATTCTGACTTATTTCCAGTCAGTCTATATTCAAATGTGTACATGGTGAAGAAAATCCATCATTAAATCCTCATGGTGATAATATGTCATTATTATCACATGAGATGCCTGAGTCAAAGATCAAGTGTCTGAATGCAATCGTATTTACAATATTGTCTGTGTCAGTGTATTAATCAGGGTTCTCCAGAGAAACAGGGCCAATAGGATATATGAAAAAATATATATCCATATAACCTATTCGCCCTGTTTCCTGTTTCTCTGGAGAACCCTGACTAATACATTGCCATACACACACACACACACACACACACACACACACACACAAACACACACACATATTTATACATGCATATTTATGTAAGGAGATTTATTATAGGAATTGGCTTACATGATTATGCAGACTGACGTATCCTATAATATGCCATCTTTAAGCTGGAGAACCAGGAAAGCTGACAATGTAATTTAGTCCGAGTCAGAAGCCCTGTGTAGCAGAGAAGCAGTTGATGGCATCAGTCCTGGTTCAAGTCCGAAGACCTGAGAACCAGGAGCACAGATGTCTGAGGTGAGGAGAAGATGGATATCCCGGTGCAAGCAGAGAGAGCAAATTCTCCCTTCTTCTGCCTTTTTTTTTTTCCTATTCAGGTCCTCAACAGATTAGATCATGCCCACCCACTCTGGTGAGGGTGATCTTATTTGTTCAGTATCCATATTCAAAAGTTAACCTCTTTCAAAAACACCCTCACAGACACACCCAGAAATAACGCTTTACTGGCTATCTGGACATCCCTTAGCCCAGCAAAGTTGATACATAAAATTAACTATCACAGTCAGATAGAGGTCGTTAATGTTCATGACTATACTTTGGCCAAAGTAACAAAAGAAAGGACAGAAAATCTGTACTAAGCTGGAGAAGTCATAGTCATAATAATAAAACCACTGATCATGGATGTACACATAGTTTTTGCAAGCAGAATTTTGCAAGTATGTGAAACCTTTTAAAGGTAGAATGAATAAGCTCCATTACATAGGTTAAAAACCAGGTTATATGTTGCATCTCAGGCATGTACCAATTGTTATGATTTTACAGACACAATCTCAATTGCCTCAGGCTCTTTAGCCAAAGTCATGATATTTTGAATGTTTTTACTCAACACTGGTCCAAGTCCAATGGAGGCTAAGCCAATGGGCCTTTCCACCTATGTCACAGTAAGAAACTCACATACTGGTCCAGGGGCTGAGACAAGACCGAGGACTCAGTTTTCTTTTTCTTCTTTCTTCTTGCCAAACCTTGTTTTTTTCTTTCTTTTTGAGATGAATTTTATTTTTCCGGCTGATTCTGAAATAGGAGTTATATTTAAGGGAACAGAGAGACGGTCCATGGAAAAACTAATCTAACAGTGCTATGTTAGAAAGTAAGTGAACCTGCCACCTATTCCTTTGTTCTTCTTAGAGACGATCATAATAATATGGAACTTTGCCCTCTCTTCCACAAATTATGGAGGCTTTAGACTACTGTATAAAAGTGGCTTAAGGCCAC